TTCAAAAACTGGTTGAGCATCACAATCTGAATGAGCTTCATCATGTAGACGAGCTTCGCAATCTATTTGAACTACAGGATGAACTTGAGCTTCACAACYTTGTTGAAATTCAGCAACAGGTACTTCTTCTCCTTTTTTTTCTACTGATTCAACTGAAGGGGAGTTTGTATGTGCGTATACATTATTCTTTTTTGTTGGATAAAGCTTAACCAACATCTGTTCTAACTCRTAATTTAGAGCCTTCATATCATCATCTTCAGGAAAACTTGTCCTTCCTTCTTCCATCAATTTATACATTTGATTGAATGTGTTGTTGATTTTATGCATGCATTTCCTCACACTAGCCATTATAACCTAAGAATTATACACCAACAAGATGGAAGTAAGCTTCATGCGAATATTCCTTAATTTAACGAAATGGCAGTAATTTTATATTGGCAAAATATTGAAATATATACCTCTTTTCTTGGGCCTTCTACATCTTCTTCTTCGTCTTCGTCTTCTTCTTCCTCTTCATCTTCCTCTTCATCTTCCTCTTCATCTTCATCTTCATCTTCCTCTTCATCTTCCTCTTCTTCTTCCTCTTCATCTTCCTCTTCTTCTTCCTCTTCTTCAAATGGTTCTTGAAGAATACCATAGCCAAAACTTCCACACTTGATTTCCAAAGACTCTCTTTCTTTTAGAAGTTCTGTAGTCCAAACCTTGATTGCTGGAGAACTTCTTTGAACATGCAAATTTTGGCATAACAATCCATCCACATAGAGTAACTAGAAATAAAAAACATTATCAAATTAATATAAAAATATATATACAACGTAAATAAAAATAAATCATACCGTTAAGAACATCAGTGGCCCACAATAATACGATGTTGGATCAGCYCTATTCCAATTTTTTTTGCTTCTCTTCAAGCAATCGATGACAAACTCACACCAATCTAAGTTATTTATATCTTCTTCATGTGCAATGCAGTGCAAAAAGCTTTGATTAGCTGTCCCTGCCTTCATAGACTCACACAAACACGTAGCAACGAGAACGAAAAAGTTCAACTTGAACATATATCCCCCATCTATTTGTTGCTTCATATGTTCTACAACTAGAGATGGATGAATTTCTCTTTTGGTTTGAGGAAATTGGTTTCTCCAACATCTAACCACTTTATCATTGATATTTGTTCTTTTTTGGGTGATAYGAATAGGACCAGTTGGAAAACCAAGCATTTTCTGCACACTGTCTTTCGTAATTTCCAGCTCCCCGACTGGAAGCTTTATAACCATCCTTTCATCATCAAAGTTGTCGACAACAAAAAA